CTTAAAATATTGTTAAAAATAAAGTAGTAGAAAAAAATAAAATACGGTACACTACCAGCCGTATCTACAAAGATAGTTAAGAATTGGCGGCGAATATATCCATAGTGTTACCACATCAAGGATACCACGTTCTTTTCATAGTGGCATGGCTGCCATGATAACATAGTTTTGGCTCAATACTGTGTTGTCTACTCGCTCTCTTAGGAATAACGAAATTCTACTACGCTCAAACCTTAAGCAGTATTGAGTTATAAGATAGGGTATAAAATGAAAAATCTGAAATACATACTGTTGGCGGTGTGGTCTGAAAGTGTCTTTAGCTAAGTCACTCTTTCTCTTCTCCTTTCTTACAAATAGTTCATAGAAATATTTCTTAACAGAGAGAAAGAGAGGGAAGTATGGAGAGGGAAGAAGAGGGAAGGAAAGGGAGAGGGAGAGAGAAGGAAAGATAGATAGAGAGAGGGAGAGAGAGAGAGATAGAGAGAGAGAGAGAGAAGAGAGATAGGGTGATAGACACCAAATTCAGTGCAGTGTTTTCTTACAAGCAAAAGACTAGGTCAAGTCTATCCAACGTAGATACCCGATATGTGGTTTTGGATCAAGTACTATTCAAATTTGGTATTTATAAGTGCAATATTACCCCTATGGAAACCAAATTCCAGTTGAGAGAAACAATGTTAAGCTGATTGGATAATATTCTTTTGGACACATACCCGTTGTACTTTACAACCAACTAGCGGATCGTTTTTTCTAGAAATTTTAAAATTTAGTTCAAGTGATCTAAGGAATCCTGATTTTTACGGTCAAAAAGTACGCTGCTCCAATTCCATTCATACAAACTTTAAGCAAAATCATTAGATTTGAAGAGCGCTTGCAGTTTGTAATTATTGAAGAGAGCTATTCCTAGATTTCGAGTCTCTTTTTATTGATATTTGGAGTTCATCCCTGATATTTGGAGTTCATCCCTGTATTTCTTTCGGCAGGGCGTAGATTTTGACAAGTTAGTCAGTTTGAAACATTTCCAATCTTATTTCTGAGAACACTAATCAGGGCTTAAAACTAACCTTAATTTTATCTCGCACATATATTTTTAAATTTTTCCCAATGCAAAAGGTGCTTGAAATCCATTCTAATGCTATTAGAAAATCTTTGAAAAGCTTTAAAAAGATTATTAAAAATAATAATTCAAAACCGTTGGAAAGGCAGGGGAAAAGGCGAAGGAAAGCTGGGTTCCACATTAAATACCGGAATCAAAAGCGACTATTAACTAAGATAAGATACTTAAAGTCAAGAACATAGAAATGATTGCATCGAGCCTTCAATTATATTCTGCTAAAAATAGCAGTACAAAGCGCCAATTATATATGGACAACAAGCTGTCAATTGTCCGACTATCACCTCTATGTATACTAGTTAAATACCAGTTCATTTCTGGAATTTCTACGCAGAAATAAAAATCAAATTAAATTTGGCTGCAGTTAGAAAAATATCATGAATCTCATCCCCTACGGTTACCACTCCCACCCTACCACCACTCGGCTGTTGCGACGATGCAGCAAGCGCCGACAAGCTGTGCTCTTCATCTAGGCGTTTAACAAAGGAAACTCACTCGTGAGGTGCCGAAAATAACAACAACATACGAATAGTGGTGGAAATGATTATTTTTCCCATTACTTATGAGCTGTTATACGAGTCATTACTAAAATACTAGTATTTAACTAGATTTTTTGCATACCGGTCTTTCTACATTTGCACTACAGGGTTGTCACGGCTCTCCGCTGCAATACTAAAATGAGATTTTTCTATATATTGTACATAAGCCATGCACTTATGTATGCTTAAAAAAAAGTATTGCACATAAAAATATGTTTTAAAAAAGGTCTTTTTTTTGGTGATTTGCAAATGGCGAATGCGTAAATTTAATTAACTTCCATTATAGTAATAATCAATTGGCAGTGGTTTGTGGTGTTGTTGAAGTAATTTTGTATTTTTCTTTTTAATTTTTTTGAAAATTTGCACAGCGTGATGTTGCGAGATATACGATGTAGATAAAAATGTTTGTAAATGTGTTTTTGAAATTCTCGAATTGCTCACTCATCCTACATGCAAATTGTAAGTATGTATGAGTACACGTATATGCGCTCATACTCGTACATAATAAATAATTATATTATTTTGTAATAAATATATTTTTAGTATGTATGCACATTTGCATGTATGTATTATCGTTTATTCAATTGTAAATATTTGATATTTTATTTCTTAATTATTTTAATTGGTACTAAAGTCAAAAATAAAGTTGCGAAAAAATAAGTATACTATTAATTTAATTTGACACATACATATGTATATACATATGTATGGTTTATATTCACTTATATTATTTACAAAAGCATGTGCATACTTAAATGTTAGTACTTGCATATTACGGTCACTGCCAATAATAAAATTTAGAGTAATTTAACCACTCAGGGCTGTGCTAATTAGTCAAGTGTGGCATTGTTTGGTAATCCGATGTTCGTTTAACAGATCATTGCCCAAAGCAAAGTCCAAAAAAAAAAATTTAAAGTTTTTTTTTTTTGTGAAAAACTACGTCCACTACAGGTGAACTGACATTTGTAGAGATACCGAAGCTGGCATGAAAGAAATTTGGAAGATATAATGGGGTTTGTATTACTACTACTTTTTTTACCCCGTTTCTAGCCATCTTTGCAAGTATTTATTGTATCTGCTTTCTTTATTACAATTTTAATTTAACTTTATTTTCAGTAAAATGTTAGTACTACTTTTTCTGTTATTTATAGATTTATACTACTATTTCTTCTACCTTTTTATAATTATCTACTACTTTTTTAACTAATTTCTCTTTGCATAATTTTCATGTAAAAAACCTGCTCGAAACTTTTATTGCTATATTTTGAGTGCTGCCTGCTCCCATTTCTACTACTATTTCTAATACTTTTTATACTACATTTTGTAGCATCGTTTCTGCTATTTCTTTAATTTTCAACCTTATACATTTCACTATTTTTTTAATTTTAACCCTTACCTTGTTTTACTTATTTCTTAATAAGCTGTGTAGTACTTTTAACTACCTTGTACTACTAATTGTACTACTATTAAATTTGAAAAACTTAAATTTATACACCTCTTTATTTTAAAATTTTTACATCTTTTTCATAGTATTTTTACACCTTTCTGGCACTTTGTCAACATATACTACTTTTTTTTTATCAGTTTTTCCCTTTAATTTTTTAAGACATTTACTTTTTGCTATAGTTTTATTTTGTTGTTCCTTTCTTCGTTCTAAAATTTCTCCAGTTTTCGACTTTATACATTTTAATAATTTTGAATAAAAACTTTTTCTACTAAATTGCTTAGTACTTTTTACTATTTTCTACTACTTTTAAGTTTAAAATATTTTAAAAATTCATACTTTTTACTACCCTTTCTTATAAACTTTTTAAAACTTTTTACTACCTTTTCTGACACTTAATCATCTTCTACTACTTTTTTTATTAGTGTTCCCTTTTCTATTTTCTATGACAACAAGTTGGGCTTTACTTTTCTAGCTACACTTTAACTACCTTCTGCTACCTTTTCTACTACCTTTTGAAATCGACTGCTAATGTCTTTATTTTACCTTACACTAATTCTGTTTAAGTTATTAAGTTATATTCTTACTTTATTGTTATCTTTTCTATTGTTTTTGACATGAAAATATTATATGCTCTTATACTTACTTAAACATTTCTATTATATTTTACATTCGGTCTTAGTATCTGCCACTTCTTTTGTCCTAATTTTGATATATTCATTTACTTTTACTACAATCGACCATATTCATAATCCTTTTCTTATTGCTTTTGTCAGTTGCTTATCTCAAGCCAATTAGTAGCTTTCCTAAATTTTTTTAAAAGATTCCTACCATTTCCTACTTTTTTTGTAATTTTTACTACTTTTTTTACAAATTTTGATATACTGCATATATTTTAAGCTACATTCTATTTAATTAATACTAAAATTGCTTAAACCTGGCTCTAATGTCATTTTAATATTTTTTTACTACTTTTTAAGAAACATCTACTACATTTTTACTACGCTGTACTCCTATTTTTTCCAAGATTTTCTGCTATCAACTTGAAATTCTTGAAATCCTACGTTTTCTGCTAGACATTTACATTTACTACTATTTAAATTTAAGGTGCACAAAAATATTTATTATTTTATATTATATTTTCTACTATTGCAGACTATTACACACTTTTGCATATTACTTTTTCTGTTAAACTTTACCACGAATGGGACTAGTTCTATTCCATTATTCCAGAATTTTTATTGACTGGACTGAACGAGCGATGCTCTTTGTCACCAAAAACACGCTTATTCATTTTTGTTTTGGAAACAGTCGCGAAGCTAAATTCAGCTAAAATTTTTTCTGCTACTTTTTCTACAACTATTTTTTAAGACTTTCCTGCTACTTGTTTACTAAGATTTTTTCGCTACTACTTTTCTATTACCTTTCTACTCATATTTCTACTACTTTTCTACCATTGAATAATTCTACAAATAAAATTTGTTATTTTTTTCAGCAAGCAATATCTGGACATTAAATTAAATAATTATTGCCAAATCATTTTTCATTACCCATTGAGCTTATATTCAGTGTATACGTTTTACAAAAACAACAAAATTTATGCGTGTTAATTAAGGGGGGAACTCCTTAATGAGAATTTCATCAATTCAACGCAAATATATAGTGTTTTTCTATAAAATTTAAATTAAAAACGTGTTTCCTTTCCCACTTAACAAAAAAAAAAAAAAAAAAAAAATTCGGATAAATACCACTAAACTCAGCTTTGTATATTTTATCCATATGTATGTATGTATAAAGTCATATGGTTAGTTATTAAGTTAACAAAAATATTTTGTTTTATTCGACTTTCGTTTTTTTGTTTAACTTTTTCCGCTTAACTTATCGAATAGTCTGGCTGACTCACCTGCGGCGCAGCGATTGCCATGTGCAGCATATATGCCAACAGTAGGAATTTCAGCATCATTTTTATGCAATATTTATATTTTCTTGTATGTGTGAGTGTTTGTATGTGAGTGTGTGTTTGTAAGCGCGAATTGAATTAATTTGTTGGCTTTGCTGACAGCAAAGTACAAAACGAGCGAAAAAAGTCCAGGAATTCCTTTTCACAATTGAATTATATTTATTTAAATTCAATGGTTTCCCTTAATCGCACACAACAATTTCGTAACTGATTTTGTATTCAGAATGCGACCAGTATGTATCGAGAGTCGGTATCTCCTGGCGATTGCAAAATAAACGCGCCTTTGAAAAAGAATATTGCGTGAATTTTTTATTGAAAATTTTAAGTTTTTGTTTTATTTATTTTGCCGCTTTTGCGGTTTTAAACAATTTCGCACAATGCAATTGATTCTAGCGAATACTTTAAATTTAAACACCTTTGGCAAAAAATTAATTTTAATTTGTGAATAAAAATTTGTTGAAAAAATTTTCGCACACGCTTTGTTTGTTCACATGAAAAACACTGATAGAATTACAAGTCCGTTGCCGTTGGCCGTTTGTGGCGCACTGATTTAAAGCCACGGTTAGTCTGGTGTAAACCTTCTTAGTGATTGACCAATAGCAACAACAGGAACAACAACAAAACTGGACAGCGCCGTTGAAGTCATTTACAGGCCATTCGCCGCTCACTGCTCGGTCGCGCTTGAAGTGAAACCGGCAGCATGAAGCTTCTACTAGAAACATACATATGACAATAAAAGCAATTGGAAGCTTTAAGCAATTAACATGCTGTTGTTGTTTTACAACTTTTTAATTTAAAAATTATTATTTTTATTTTCTTGTTGATCTTTATTACGCTACTGATAAATCTTGTTTTACTCGTATGAGTAGACTAATTTGCCGTAAAAAATTGCCAACTTTTCCATTACCCCCCTTCGAAAGCTTCTGCGAGAGTATGTATAGGTGTTTGTGTGTCTTATGCGTTTGCATGTAAGTCACATAAATTTGAAGTATTAAATACACATTCACATATGCTTGTAAGTCGGAAATCTCAGCTCATTTGAGAGCATCAGCTGCTCAAATATCTTGCTGCTCTCCGCTCGGATCAGAAATATCGCACTCTGATTGGCCGATTGAGTTCTGGTTCACATGGAACTAAGCGCAATGTTCTGAATAAAAGCAAGATTTAGCAAAACAAAGAAATTTACGTCAGTGTTCAAGGTGCAATTGTTAACCGTAATCTTGCAAAATACTCTGTCTGTAAAAGTAAGCAAAGAAATAACAACCCAAAATATAAAATAAAAAAAAGATATAAACTAAAATGAATTAAAAAATTAAAATTAAAAATAAAAAAAAAAACAAAATAAAATAAATATAAAATAAAACAAAAAAAAAAATGAAAATAAAAAAATTAAAATGAAAAAAAAAATTAAAAAAAAAAATTAAAAAAAATTAAGTAACATGAAATAATTATAATAATTTTTTAATATGAAATAAAATATAATAAAATCAAATAAAAGAAATAAATTAAAATAAAAAAATAAAATTATGTTAAATGAAATAAAATACAAAGAAAATAATATAAAAAATAAAATAAAATAAATTATAATAACATAAAATAAAAATAAAAAAAAAATAAAATTAAAATAAAATAAAATAAAATAAAATAAAATAAAATAAAATAAAATAAAATAAAATAAAATAAAATAAAATAAAATAAAATAAAATAGAATAAAATGAACAAATTAATATGAAATAAAATAAAACTAATAAAAATAAAAAATATTAAAATAAAATAAAGTAAATAAATAAATTAATTAAAAGAAGAAAATAAGTTTGGCAACCTTATTATTGGAAGGACAGGACAAATACAAATACATTGCGGTGCTGCCAGAATTAAACATGATTATCCTATGCTGATTTTTAAATGGGGGTGGTCGATAAGTGGTTTTGAATTGATTTTAGGGTAATTCTAAATATACTTTCCAGGATGTTTAATAAACGTTTTCTCAGCGATATTGGGTCATCGATCTCATTTATTGCTTTTAATTAATTTTAATTAATCGTGGATTTTTCTGCAATTTCAAATCAGCAAACTGTTCATTGCATGCAGACACAAGTTGACCGTAAAACTGTCTTATCAACAAATTTTGTTCATGAAAGACAAGAGGTCAAAATACCTCACATGTCCGAAATGTGCTGCGGAATTGAAATTTATGCACATAAATACATACAATAAAAAATACCGTTATTAAATGTTTAAGCAATAAGCTGTACAAAGTTGAGGGGTTTTTATTTAAAAGTATTTAAATGCTCTCAAAAGTATAAATAATCAGAAGTAAATGGTAAATATTCATAGATGAAGCCGAAATATTCTTGTTTCGTCTTAAAAACAAATTTTTAAGATCAAATCATTGGTATGCTGTACAACTTTGTTTATGAAAATAGGGACTGACTCAAACGTAAATTCCTAGGAACATAAAATTAATCATTTAATTGTTTTGCGATAGTGTTAATCATCAGTAATTGAAATTAATGGGCTCAAAAGGTTATAGTCAGATATAACACTGCAGCTCAAAACGAGACGAGCTGTAATTAAAACAAAAACCAAACATTAAATTATTCATTTCATATTTGCTGATATAGTAGCTTGGGAGTACACATATATTCCATTTGAAAATATTGATTTGAATTTCAGTTGTTTCATTCTTCTCGACTGAATGTAGGCGCTGTGAAAGGCATTGGGCTGGAAAATGTGCATTTGCTGAGATTTCAGGTGGTTTTTCTGGTAGTTTCTAACAACACACATACATACATATTAATTTATACACCAAGCTAATTTGAAAAGCTTAAAATGCTTCCATTTATATTTTGGAGCTATCCTTTTGACCCTAACAAAAATCATCACGTATTCAAATTAATTTCCTCATAAACAAATTAATTTATTGTTTTAATTGCAATTTAATTAAGCGTATCACCAAACTTAGCACAAAAAATATGAATTGTATTGTAGAAAAGTCAGATTTGATATCTAACAATGGAGTTTCGCTTCCGTTTTATTTTGTATTTATTTTTCATTTGCTATCAACAACTATTTTTTACTATAATAAATTTACTTAATTGTCTCTAATTGTTGTAACTTTTTAAAATAATTGTCATCAGATGTAATAATGAGTGGAAAATTGCTCTAGAAATATAGGACATTTTTTAAACAAAAATATTTTCAGCCAAATTAGTGAAAACAAGGCCGCCTAACTCGCAAGTGAGTTGGGGAGAGAACGGAAATGTATTTGCAAACTAAACAAGAAAGCAGAGCTGTCTTCAGCCATGCTGAAGCCATAGCCATTGACCCAAAAGCTCATATCTGAACAAAACGGTTTTAAGGGGGCTATATTACACATATAGTCCTTCGGTTCTTCATAACTTTCAGTCTCAATGTGTAATTCATCATACAACGAGTGTAGAATTTCACTCCCTTAGATGCCTTCTATACAAATTTTTGACCTAAAGTCGAAAAACTGTAAAATCGGTCGAATATACGCTGTAGTGATTCGATCTGGCTGGTTCTGACAAATGATCACTTAAATTTGGTTGAAACTTCTCAGAAACTTGGGAATGAGTTTTCGTACAAACAGTCGGAGAAACGTTGATCGACACAGCTCCTCATTATGTTCCTTCATTATGTTCGTAAAGTAAAGTTGGTGGGTCTCCTTCGGTTAGTTACATATTTTGGACCATAGGTTATATTCCATTTCATATTCATGAAAGGCATAGCAAGCAAGCAACAAAAATGCATGCGTATGAAAAGCTTGAGCTTCAAGTGGCAACCAAAGAGGGCAGCTTGCCCAGAGGATACTGAGTTTATGAAATGCAGTGAAAATATAAAGTTGGAGAAGGTGAATACGAAATCTCAAACCGATATAGTGGTGTAGACACTTCATCTCTCAATTATGATTAAGTTCGAGGGCAATTGTCCGTCGTGGAGAACAACGAAATCGCGTTAGCCGAAGATCTACCGGCTGAGCTAATCGATAATTCTCCTCAATATAAGTAGTAAACAATTTTTAATTCAGCGTACTGCGTGAGAGTTTGAAGTACACCGTCCATGAAGTGCTTGGACCTTATCAGTATCACTTAAGGCCTGGAGCATTTATCATTGGACGGAAATTTACAATGCGTGGCGCATGAAGAAAATTAGAAAATGGTCGATTTTAAAGTAGCCGTCAAGGCGGAAGAGCTGTGTCTGAATATGTTAGCCCGGAAAACTTTTAAACTGTGTTAATTGACGCTGAGCAACACAGAAGTTTCCATGTGATGCGAGTGAAAATAAGCTCGTAATACTTTAGATGAGCTGAGCAATCAGTTATAAGAAGTGTTCAACTGCTGGTTTCAAAAATCGCGCCAATACTACTGTTTCTTCTTGACTGAATAAGTATGCAAGGCGTTGGAGTGTTGTAAGGAACAAATACCTCATGTCCTCTAGTGATCTAATTAAATTCTCGGAGCTTCTGTAGAATCATTACAGGCTTGTGTGTCGGCTGGCTTTGTCCTGCTGAAACACATTTCCACTCTTGTTGGCCAAAGCTAAACGTTTCTGGGCGACTGATTAGTTCAGATGTACCGATTACTGACTGTAAAGGTCCGTGTTTAAAGCTTAGCCGAAAGGGAGTGGCTAAATATGAATGTTTAATTGCCAATCGCACCAAGCATACACCAAAACGTCCCTCTAAGTGACTTTGGATCACTAGTCACCAGTCCCCATGGTTTTTTCAGCTGCCTGACTTGCCTTTTCACTTTTATCGAAGAAAAATTTGTAGAATTCAAACATCGTATCTTCTCTTTGCTGGTGTCCGACTTTGACATGTGCTCAAACAGTACTGAGTTTCTCGTTATATTTTTTAGTACAAAACATTATTCTTCTAACCACACCAACCGATCACTATAGCCATTTATTGCAAGTGGATTTCTTTTACTAGATCTAATATATTGGTCAAGTAAATAGATTGTTCGGTTTTTATCTAAGAGATGGTAATATTGTTCATAGAACTCATGCTACGTGCCGCATCATGTCATACTATACGGCACTGAAAACGTGAAGATGGACACCAGCAAAGAGAAAATTCGCGAATTCGCGATACAATTATTCTTCGATCAAGGCGAAAAAGCAGCCAAAGCGGCTGAAAAAATTAATTTAGTTTATGAGCCTAATACTGTAAACGAACGTATAGTAGAAAAGTGGTTTGCTAGGTTCCGTTCCGGTAATTTCGATGTCAAAGATGCACCACGCGTCGGGAGGCCTGTCGTCGACGATTGGAAATATTGAAACAGACCGTCACGTGAGCACTTATTTAATTGCTGAGGAACTAAAGATAAGCCAGAAAACTATTCGGAACCATTTGCATAACTTTGGATGTCCATCTTCGAATCGCTGCTGAATTGCTACAAAATTGACCCGTTTCTGAAGTGGATTATGACCGGCGATGAAAAGTGGATAATTTATGACAACTTCAAGTGGTTGCGGTCGAAACGCGGTGAGCCGGCGGAAATGATAACCAAAACAGGAAATATGGCCAGGAAGGTTTGCTGTGTGCTTGGTGGGATTGGCAAGGAATCATCTACTACGAGCTGATCCCCTATGGCCAAACGCTTAATTCGACCCTCTACTGCCAACAAAAAGACCGCTTGAAGCCGTCA